CCTTGGGCCAAACAAATTGTTTGTGCAAAATTGCATCTGGATAGGGCAATAAATGCGAACTGCACTTTGTTTACAAAAATACATGGACAGACGGACGGACGAACAGACGGACGAACAGACGGACATGCATAAATCTACTCAGAATGTGATTCTATGCAGACCATCAAAAGGAACTGTGGGTCTATCTCGTTTTCTTTGGCCTGTTACAAACAAATGCACAAAGACATAATACCCTGACCACCTTTTGGTGTAGGGTGTAAAGATCGTACTTATGTGAAACGATAGGGCTCGAATACTAAATTGTAATAAATTTGGGAAATTTGGAATTTTGATGAATCAATAGAGCTGATATTCTGAAATTTGATATTAACATTACTGACGGAGTGTAGGATTGGAATATGGAGGTAGTTTCCGAAATTTAAATGGTACTAAATTTGAAAAAAAAATTTATTTGGGTGAACCGATAGAGCTGGAATGCTGAAATTTGGAAATAAAATAACTAATGCACTGTAGGACTAAAATATGTAGGTAGTTATGGAAACTTCTACTAATGTGTACTAAATGGTAATAAATTTTGTACAATTTCAATTTTCGGAGAACTGATGGGTATGGAATTCTGAAATTTAGAATTTGCATTACTGTGGGAGTGTAAGATTGGATTATGTAAAAAGTTTTGTAAATTCGTACTTATATTAATACACACAATGGTACCAAAATTGATACAATTTGGATTTGGGTGAACCAATAGGGCTGGAATCCTGATATTTGGAATTTTTTTTTAATTATTTTGTACAAAATTTAATATTGATTGAACGGATAGAGTTAGAATTCTGAATTTTGTTGTGGGGTCAGAATTGGTGTGTAGTATTGACATATGGAGATAATTTTGGAAATACGCGCCATAGATGGAAATACTACCGTAAATAGTACTGACACTGAATTATGGCCCTTTATTAGTGTGTAAGGTTGAGATATGAAATGGTATTGGAAATTAATACTTATGCAGACGTAGAAGAGTACCAAGTGGTACTGAATTTGATAATAGTAGAGAGTGAGATAAATAAGTCATATTTATACCCTGCACCACAAGGTGATCAGGGTATTATGTCTTTGTGCATTTGTTTGTAACAGGCAAAAGGAAACGAGATAGACCCATAGTTACTTTTGATGATCTGCATAGAATCACATTCTGAGTCGATTTATGCATGTCTGTCCGTCCGTCCGTCTGTCCATGTATTTTTGTAAACAAAGTACAGATCGCATTTATTGCCCTATCCAGATGAAATTTTGCACAAATCATTTGTTTGGCCCAAGGACGAACCCTATTGAAATTGGAGATAATCGGTCAAAATTTAGATATAGCTCCCATATACATCTTCGTCCGATTTGCCTTTTATTGTGCACCAAACGTATAATATCAGTCCGAATAGTATGGAATTTTTCACGTACGATCAGAATTGACCTGAAAATAAGTATGCCAAATTTGATCGAAATCGGTTCAGATATAGCTATAGCTCCCATATATATTGTTCATCCGATTTGTTATTTTTATCCTCCACAGCCGTAATATGTACTCTGTAACAATGATATTTGGGGAAATATATCAAATACAGCTCAGAAACACATTTGCTAAATTTTATCGAGATCGGTTCGGATTTGGATATAGCTCACATATATAACTTCGTCCGATTTACCTTTTATTGTGCACCAAACGTCTAATATTTGCCAAAATGCATGAAATTTGGCACTTGCGACCGAATTGAGTCTAGAAGCTGGTACGTCAAATTTGGTGAAGATCGGTTTAGATATAGCTATAGCTCCCATATATATTGTTCATCCGATTTGTTGTATTTGTTACCCACAGTCGTAATATGCACTCCGTAACAACGATATTCAGGGAAATATATCAAATACAGCTCAGAAATATCTTTGCCAAATTTTATCGCGATCGGTTCAGATTTGTATATAGTTCCCATATATATTTTTATCCGATTTCAAATTAATTTCACACCAAATGGGCAATACAATTCCGAATTTAAAAGATACAAATGCTTCGGCATATTTAGTCCTTTGAACTTTAAATTATACTTATAATCATAGCGTGGATGATTGAATTCTCCCATAAAAACTTTTAATTGTTATGTGGAGCTCTACTAAATTAGAAAAGTGGTGTAGGGTATCATAGAGTCGGCCCCGCCCGACTTTAAGACTTTTTTACTGGTTTTTTTCTTTAATTTTATTGAATGAAAGCGAAAAATGTCGGGAATATAAATAAATTATAAATAAGTTTAGATTTGTTCGAATTGGTCACCTTTGGCGCGAATTATGCCCTTCAAACGGCCAATGAAACCATTATACGCTGCCCAAATGTTGCTCTATGGTATTTTAGCCCATTCCCGGGGAAGCGCTTGCTTGAGGTGATCGATGCATTGGTATTTTTTAGTGCCAACCTTGTTTTCCAAAATTCTCCAGACACAATAGTCCAACGGATTGGTATCCGGAGATTTTGGTGGCCATTGTGCTCGGGAAATGAAGCGACGTACCTCATTTTGTAACCATTCGTGGGTGGTGCGAGCTGAGTGCGATGGTGCTCAGTCCTGGTGAAATGTCCAAGGTCCAAGGTCTGCGGCCAAAATGTTTCCTTGCCCAAGGCTTTAATACACCCTCCGGAATATTTTCGCGATAATATTCGGCATTTATTTTGATTCCACGGTCGATTAATACGAGCGGAGAGCGACCATCGGCTGTTATGGCGGCCCACACTAACACCATGGCCGGTGCTTGAGTTCTGGTGGCCAAACGAAGGTCCACATTTTCAGCTGACCTCTTTGGCAAGTAAACACCATCATTTTTTTGTTTACAAACTGCTGGACAACTAATGTTTTCTATTCGGAGAAAACCAAATTCGGCAGTTCACCACTTTCTCCCTAGCGAATCAACTTTTTAGCTCTTTTGTACTTTTTGGAATTTCAATGGCTTTACCACTAGCTCATTTGTCAATATTTGTCGAATAAAATATTGCGATATGTTCAGCTCACGGGCCATTTTTCGGCCCTCCGACGCGGGTTTCGCTTTTTTTCGAACCATTTCTGCTGATATTGCTGTTTTCTTCCGTCCACTTCCTTGACGTCGGTCTACGCTACCAATATCACGGTAAGGAGCGATGGTACGAGACACAAAAGATTTATTCAAATTTAAGTGCTGGAATGCTCTAACGATAGCCACTTGTGGTTTTCCAGCCAAATATAAAGAAATCACTCTATCACGCTTGAATTCCATCACAAATAACTTTTTTTCTGGAAAATTCTCACCAAAATGCTTTTGTACGCTTGTAAACAATATAATGAGCTGTCACTGGAATAATTTTAACAGCTGTCGGACGAGTGGCTTAGAAATGACAGCAGTCTGAAATTGGTTGCAGTTTTTCATCTCACCCTGTATGCTTTGTGGGTTTTAAAATAAATATGTTCAGGTGGAGGGTATAAAAAAAGAAAATATAAATATCATTTCTCGAAACTCAAATATCTCATTACAGTGTGTCGTATGAACGCTGTCATATATCATACGCCCGTATTTTATGTCTACCAAATTAATTTCTTATTTAAAACCAGTAAAGCAAGTCTTAAAGTCGGGCGGGGCCGACTTTATGATACCCTACGCCACTTTGCTAATTTAGTAGAGCTGCGCATAACAATTAAAAGTTTTTATGGGAGAATTCAATCATACACGCTATGATTATAATTATAATTTAAAGTTCATAGGACTAAATATGCCGAGGCATTTGTATCTTTTAAATTCGCACTTGTATTGCCCATTTGGTGCACAATTAATTTGAAATCGGATAAAAATATATATGGGAGCTATATCCAAATCGGAACCGATCTCAATAAAATTTGGCAAAGATATTTCTGAGCTGTATTTGATTTATTTCCCTGAATATCGTTGTTACGGAGTGCATATTACGGCTGTGGGTAACAAATACAATAAATCGGATAAACAATATATATGGGAGCTATAGCTATATCTGAACCGATCTTCACCAAATTTGGCATACAACCTTCTAGACTCAATTCGGTCGTATATGATGATAAATGCGACCTGCATTTTGTTCACAAGAATACATGGACAGACGGACGGACGGACGGACAGACGGACTGACATGCATAAATCAACTCAGAAAGTGATTCTATCTCGTTTCCTTTTGGCTGTTACAAACAAATGCACAAAGACATAATACCCTGACCACCTTGTGGTGTAGGGTATAAAAATTTAATCTTTATATCAAATCATTGTCCCAACCCTCGTACACGAAATATTCATAGCTGACAATAATCTCCATTACATCCAACACTTGACATTATTTACACACAATCATTTGCCAAACAACTGAAGTGCCAATGGAAGGAGTTCATATAAAAGCAGAATCGAATGCAACATTGTGTGACGTACACAAAAAAAAATATTCAATCTTGTCGATAGTATTCCAAAAAAACGAGAAGAAAAAACGCTGAACAAAGACAGAAAACAAACAGCAAATGCAATTTACACTTTAACATTTAGCAGTCGGCCAGCAACGTCACACGTCATTTTGTCGTACGGCCGCATGGCCACATAGACTGCATCGAGTTTCAACGCCACATTACAATAATGCATTCCTAGCTATTGATTATGTTTCGTGGCTGCAATGAGCCTCTAAAAAATAAAAATCATTTTTCATTCAAAGCAACTGAAAAAACGAAAAATCGAAAACCGTACATTCTAATATTTCGACGTAGTAAAGTCGTTCATTCAATCTTTCGTTCATTTGTTATTTCACAAGTCACAGATTTGTGTTGGCCATCTTATTTATATTTTGCTTTGTTTTTGAGGCTGCAATTCTGGTTCAGAGCATGACAAGTGAATGTGTTGAATGCAGCTCAACAACGCTGGCTTGCAGTTGGATGGCCCCACTGGTCGGATGCTTGAAAAGATGTGTATGGAAAAAAATCAAATGTACTTACCCCTACTCCGCCAACTTTGACGCACACATGGAACATTTGACATTGAGTCTCCGGATCTGCATAATAGCCACCAAGTATTTTGTCATGACATGTGAATCGTGTCTGTGGCATATTCTGTAGACTATATGTTGGCCATGGCTTCTTAAAGAATGATGACTTGTCTTGTCCTAGTATTGTGTTCGTTACACTTAAAACAATTGCTGTTCATGCAATGCGATGCGAAGAGAAGATGAAAAAAAAATAAAATAGTTACATATTAGTTTTAATGATAATTTGATTTAAATAAAAATTTAAAAAAAATAAATTTTATAATTTTTTGGTTTTCAAATACTAATTAACTAAGTTCACAACTTAATAATCAAATAGGTATTAAAGCTGAAGTAAAGAATTTCGATATCGAACATGTTGGAATGCATCAATAGGTTTGTAGCATATGATGGACAAGGCGATTATGTCAATATACCAACAAAACAAAAATATTTCTTCAATTTTAGGTTTTGAAAAATTTCATTGGATTTAAAAAGAAAACAAGTAAGAAAGCAGCTATGTTTGGCCGGGCCGAGCTGTCTTTACCCTGCACCATTGGGAAAGAACTCGAAAATTTTCAAAAAAAAAAAATTCCATCGAAAAATAACGTTCATATGAAATCCGTTATATTGGGCTATACAGAGACGAGGACCTGTATAGACAATTTTCCATCGTAGGTTGTAATACCCATTACGAATCTTAAATACGAAATTTGAAACATTTTCGGTGAATACTGTAGCTAAAGTCATCCAAATACCGAATATCGTGAGGTACCATTGTATGGGGGCTATACGATATCGTGGACCTATATAGACAATTCTCTTCTAGGGGAAAAAGTACTCACAAGGAACTCCTTGCGAGAATTTTCAGACAATTCCGTTAAAAATGTATACAAATTAACAAGTAAAAGCGCAGTTATACCCTCCACCATTTGGAAGAAACTTAATTCGAAAACCAGTAAAGAAAGTCTTATGATACCCTACACCACTTTGCTAATTTAGTAGAGCTGCGCATAAGAATTAAAACTTTTTATGGGAGAATTCAATCATACACGCTATGATTATAATTATAATTTAAAGTTCAAAGGACAAAACATGCCGAAGCATTTGTATCTTTTAAATTCGGACTTGTATTGCCCATTTGGTTCACAGTTAATTTGAAATCGGTTAAAAATATATATGGGAGCTATATCTAAATCCGAACCGATCTCGATGAAATTTGGCAAAGATATTTCTGAGCTGTATTTGATATATTTCCCTGAGTATCGTTGTTACGGAGTGCATATTACGGCTGTGGGCAACAAATATGACAAATCGGATGAACAATATATATGGGAGCTATAGCTATATCAGAACCGATCTTCAGCAAATTTGGCATAATACCTTCTAGACTCATTTCGGTCGTATGTGAAAAACTCCATCCCATTTGGCAAATATTAGACGTTTGGTGCACAATAAACGGTAAATCGGACGAAGTTATATATGGGAGCTATATCCAAATCTGATCGGATCTCGATAAAATTTTTCAAAAGTATTTCTGAGCTGCATTTGATATATTTCCCTGAGTATCGTTGTTACGGAGTGTATATTGCGGCGGAGTGCAAATATAACAAATTGGATGAACAGTATATATGGGAGCTATAGCTATATCTGAACCGATCTTCACCAAATATGACATACTAGCTTCTAGATTCAATTCGGTCGTAAGTGCCAAATTCCATCCCATTTGGGCAAATATTAGACGTTTGGTGCACAATCCGAGGTAAATCGGACCAAGTTATATATGGGAGCTATATCCAAATCTGAACCGATCTCGATAAAATTTAGCAAAAGTATTTCTGAGCTCAATTTGATATATATTCCCCAAATATTCTTGTTACAGAGTGCATATTACGGCTGCGGGGGACAAAAATAACAAATCGGATGAACAATATATATGGGAGCTATAGCTATATCTGAACCGATTTCGATCAAATTTGACATACTTATTTTCAGGTCCAATCTGATCGTACTTGCAAAATTCCATACTATTCGGACTGATATTACACGTTTGGTGCACAATAAAAGGCAAATCGGACGAAGATATATATGGGAGCTATATCTAAATTTTTACCGATTATCTCCAATTACAATAGGGTTCGTCCTTGGGCCAAACAAATGATATGTGCAAAATTTCATCTGGATAGGGCAATAAATGCGAACTGTACTTTGTTTACAAAAATACATGGACAGACGAACGGACATGCATAAATCGACTAAGAATTTGATTCTATGCAGATCATCAAAAGGAACTATGGGTCTATCTCGTTTCCTTTTGCCTGTTACAAACAAATGCACAAAGACATAATACCCTGACCACCTTGTGGTGTAGGGTATAAAAATTGGCTAAAATCATCAAAATACCAAATATTGGGGGATATACGATATCGTGAATATATGATAAGACTGGTTTTTTTAGAAGTTCGTATTAAAAGGGTACGAAAAGTACTAAAATGTACTGAAAATTGAATACTTTGTATTGGACAAACGGAATGAGCTGGAATTCTGAAATTTGGTATGATGTACCAAAAGTGGAAAACTTGAAATTCGGTATGACAATCATGGTTGGAAAGTACGTTTGAATTATGAAATGAGTACTAAATCGTACCAAATTTGGAACAGTTTGGTTTTCGGTGATCGGATGAAGCTGAAGTTTTGACATTTTTTATTGAGGTCCATGTTGGTGATAGGTTTGTGATAAAGAGGTGATTTTTGAAATGTGTACTACAAGTGCACGAAAATATGAAATCTGAAATGTTCTTATTAGGGTCGTCGTTTATGTGTAGCCTGGACCTATAAAAGTGGTTTTAGAAATATGTGCTACAATTGTGCGAAAATTACTTAAAGTACTATATTCGGTATTAGGTGATAGACATAAATTTTTAGATAACCGATGGTACCTGTTTTTATACCCTACAACACTATGTGTTGGGGGTATTATAAGTTTGATTGGGCCAGAATTTATGTAACACCTCGAAATATTGGTTTCCCATATAGGAAAGTATTTATAGATCTTCCCAGCTCGCCGAGCTGAGTCGATCTAGCTATGTATGTCCGTCCGTCCGTCTGTCCGTCTGTCCGTCTGTCCATGTTAATTTGTAATCACTCTACAGGTCGCAATTATGGCCCGATCTTCACGAAATTTAGAATGGAGGTGGGTCATAGGTCAGAATAGAACCCTATTTCTTTTGGAGATGATCGCATAATATTTAGGGGTTGTAATGGACCAAATACTGAAAAAATATCGGATTTTGCAGTAGCTATACAGGTCGCAATTATAGACCAATCGACGCGGAATTTCGCATGTAGCTAGAGTTTAGGGCGGGGAAGAAGCCTACCAATTTGGGTGGTCATCGGATAATATTTAGCGGCTAAAATATACCATATCTTTTGTGTTGAAAAAATTCAATATTTTTCATTAAACCGCGAATATTTTAAATACCGGCGAAATCACGAAGCCATGACAAGGTTACTTCTGATCTTTACATTGATGTTAACATTCAACAAATCGGATATATAGCGAAATATGTGCGATATATATGTCTATCAAAGAAGATATGTTTGAAAGATCTCTTATATGTCGAGAACGGCTGAACTGATTTCGACAGTTTTCATTAAATCAGAATGGCCTCTTGGCAGGAAAGAGAAAACGTCTAAAAAAATCGTATAAAAATATCTCTATGAAGATGAAAATATTGATTTTTTAAAATTTTCTCATATTTTTTCCATTTTGTCATATTTTTGGCATATTTTCATTTTGAATTAAACATTTGGTAATATTTCTACAGCTAACAAAACTAAGTAGTTAGGATATCAGGATATCATATACAGATCGCATTTATGGCCCGATCCTTACGAAATTTTGCATGGGGATAAGATGAGGGTCAGAATAGAAGCCTGCTCTTTTTGGAGACGATCGCCATATATTTAGGGGTTGAAATGGACCAAAAAACTGCAAAATTGTCAGCAGGTCGTAACTATCAACCGATCCTCACGCACATTTGAATGGGGGTTACCGGACATTGCAAAAGCCAAGCAGTTTTAGATGGCCATCCAAAAATATTCAATATGTAAAGGAGTTAGCCTACTTTTGTAGACAAAACACGAAAATGTCCATTCCAGTGACTTTTTGGAGAATTCACAAATACAGGAAAGACGCACTTCTGACTATTTCGTTAACGCTGATTTCGTTGAAGAATGTAGTCAAATGCTTGTATCTCATATAGATGCGATTCAGTCAGAAACCAATAATAAATGTTAATCTTTTGCCACTTCTAAGAAATTATAGGTCTTTGGGAAATATTGGTTCCAGATCTAGGAAGACCATTTACATGCAACATCTACCAATAAATTGGAAATGAGCAAATTAGTTTTAGTTGCTATTATTCGAAATTTAGAGAATGAAACCTGATGGTTTTCTTTTAATATTTGTCACAACATCTTGTGGAATTCTTTCGAGTATCTCGCCTATATAAACTGTTTCGTTTATTATAGTGTTGTAGGGTATTCAACGGTCGGCCCGCTCGACTGTAGCCTTTGCTTACTTATTTTTTTTTTTTTTTTTTTTTTGTAATTTGGAGATGGTTTGGAAATGCGCCCTATATTTGTATGAAAAGTACTAAATCGTACTTCATTTAATATTGGGTAACGTGATAGAACTGTAGTGGGATTCTCTAACACATTTTTGGAGTTACCGACAAAAATCGGTAACTTTCAAACGCGAAATATTGATATAAAAAAGAAATAAAAGTTGTCAACATTGGTATCTATCGGTAGGCCTTGGCAACTAATTAAATTTCGTCGTTAAATTCGTAAAATTTCGTTAACTCTCAAAACTATAAGCATTTGAATTTTAGCGATTTCGATAAGACAGAAAATGAGTTACAGAATTCCACCACTGAAATCCCGAATTTTGATAATGAGGTCTTTGTTGGTATCTGGAATTTTTGATAACTGTAGGTATCTGAGGTTGAGATATGAAGATTGTTTTGAAAAATGCTACTAAACGTGGTATTGGGTGAATGAGTAGAGCTGAAATCCTCAAATTTGATATGGATGCCACTGTTGGTGTCTGCAGTTGTGCGAAGCAAATGTTATTGGAAATACGTAATTGTTCGAAAATTACAAAATGTTAC